CAGGTCTTATTGCTGCTGTTTTCCTGACTCGTTGTTCCTCTCTCTGCAGGTGCACGTTCCGGTTCCCCAGCACAAACATAAAGATCTCATTCACGGCCTTGTCCAGTGGCAGGAAAGTGAAACGTGAAGCTCCAGAATCTCCAGTTAAAGCGGTTCAGCCTCAGATCTCTCCTTTAACCATCAGCATCCCAGAAAACATCGCCCACCTCATGAGCCCCCTGCCCTCCCCCACAGGGACCATCAGGTAACTGGAGTTTGTCTTGTAATATTCTCATTCCATCAACTCTCCTTAAATCCGCGTTTTGTACCTTTTGGTTCATAGCACAATTTCCAAATCGGCATTGTTGGTGATTGTGATGTTTTAATGTGTGTTTTTCCACAGTGCTGCTAACTCGTGCCCCTCCAGTCCACGGGGGGCAGGCTCCTCTGGGTACAGACTGGGCAGTCGAATGGTGAGCTCAGCAGAACTTCAGCTCATAAACGATAACTCGCAACCAGAGCACGAGAAGGACAACTCCGGAGGGGACAGTCCCAAGGTACGCACGGACCTGAGGCTACGTAAACAGGGATTCTACGTCATTCACTCAAAATAATGTGTGAATGACGTAGAGAACTGGGGGCAGTAGATCAGGTGGAAGTGTTTGGCGGTTTGAATCCCGATTTTGACATAAACATGATCGGTTGAGCGGTCAGATCCACTGATCCACAGGTTGGCGGTGTGATTTCTACTCCCACAGATGAATGCTGTCATTGTGTCCTTGGGCAAGACGCTTAATCCACCTCACCCCCAGTGTCTGTGTGTACTGATGTGTGAATGTGTGTGTGAGTGGGCGAGTGGCTCCTTGATGTAAAGTCCTTTGAGGGCCTTGAAGGGTGAAAAGAGCTGGATAACTGTTTTGATGGGTTGAAAATCATACAGTTGTCTACATTTTTACATTTTATCCTCATAATTTAAACACATTTCAAATAAAGAGCTGAGATAAAGATGAAGAGCTAGATTTCTTGGAAGTATTGGGCCGAGAGACAGAACTTAAAAAGAAAAAAAAAAAACGTATATAACTCTGAGACAGTGTAATCCTTCATTCGCCCAGGAGGGGTTCAGTGTAGACACTGTTAAAATGGCATTAGGTTTTTGTATTTAAAAAGATTCTGCGTGTAACCACCTGTCACACTGTAAAAATATAATAAAATGTCTGTCACACTGACTGAATGAAATAATCTCCAGTGAAACCTGTGGGACAGAGGATCGTACAAGGGCTGGATAATGTCCTGTTTGACTGCAGTGTTACTGAATCAACGAGTTTAAAAAGACTCTTCCTGTGACCACATGCCCAAATGAGCCGTAAAAATATAATGACTGATAAAAATAGCTTATTTTCTGGACCCTGTCCGTCACTAACCTGGTTCACACCAGACTGAGTTGTGCTGCAGGCTGAATGAGTTTTACACGTTCTCAGTCTGGAACAGCCCTCACTGAAAGAGATCAGGAAAATGCAGAACATCATGACAAATGTTTGGATCTTATAAACTTTAACTTTTGCTAAATCCAGATGTTTTTCTTGTCCTCAAAATGCAGAATGTTTTTCACAAACAAAATAGTCTAAAATCGCCTGAAATATGGGCCAGTCCATATGAAATCAGCTGTCCTCCCCTATGAGCCAGCTCAGAATTGGCTGAAAAAAATAAAAATAAAAAAAATCTAAAATGACCAAATAAAAGAATCTAAAATTTTAGCTTAATCCAAACTTGAGTTGTTCCTGAGTTATGGCCCATTGAAATTTTGGGGCCATGCTCACTTTTTCAGAAGCCTTTATTTAAAAAACATGTTTGAGAGACCATAACTTCATGAAAAATAGAACTAGGAAGCTTATTGTAGATTCTTGGTCATAGATTCTGAATCTGTTGTCAAACATTTAGTATCTTTATTAAGGGGGGGCACTGTGGGCCCCCAAAATCTCATATTTGGTTACCGCTCAATTTTTTATTTAATTTTTTTTCAATTTTTGAGATTTAAAATCTTTTTACTCCAAGCAGATTTACAAACTCACTGTTGAACCTGAATATTTGAGAGAATGACCATTTCTGACAACAATCTCACACTTTTCTGAGCTTTCATGTGGATGGTGTAGAGTCTCAAATATGGTCACAAACCAAATGTGATTTTTTTGGCCCCTTCTTTGGACCCTCGGTTCCCCATGTGGGCACAGTTAGATGTTGATAAAATTTTTTCCAGAGAAACTTTGGTATATTCTGATTAGTTTAAAGTAATAAAAACATCTACCATTAACTTCCTTCATTTCAAATGGAATTTTTGAAAATGAGCTTAATAAAGAACCAATAACCAATATTTGACATCAGATTTAGAATCTATGACCAAGAATCTACAATAACCTTCCTAAGTCTATTTTTTATGAAAACGACTCAAGGGATTGAGCAAAAATTTTAGATTTTTTTTCATTTGGTGATTTTAGAAATTTTTGGAAAATTTTCCAGCCAATTCTGAGATGGCTCATAGGGGAGATTCCTTGAAAACGGTTGATTTCATATGGACTGACTCATACGTGTGTCTGCACTTCGCCTTTGGCTTTAACACAAACCTCAATGTCGCTCTGTGGTTGGTCCACCTGCTGCTGGGTGAATTTGACCCTCACAGCGAGAGTATCTCAAGATGGATTCTTGTGAGTTTGTGAACTCCAAATATTGCAAGAATCGTGTGCAAGGTTAAATCCATCACAATGACTAGAATTATCTCCAGTGAAACCTGTGGGACAGCAGATCTTACAAGGGTTGCATAATGTCAAACATAATACCTTCATTCTGACTTGTGTGTGTCAAGTCTTTTAAAATGCATTATAATCCTAAACACAGATTAAATGTTGTGTTTTTTTTCTCTGTAGGACGACTCGAAGCCTCCGTACTCCTATGCACAGTTGATTGTCCAGGCCATCACTCTGGCTCAGGACAAACAGCTCACTTTAAACGGCATCTACAACCACATCACCAAGAACTACCCCTACTACCGCACCGCCGACAAGGGCTGGCAGGTGAGGACCACACCATCACTTTATATACAGACCACCGAGTGAAATAAAAACACCAGGATCATGTAGACCAGGTTAACACAGACATTTGTAGGTCTGAATCTGAAGCCTGACATCAGCAGACATCAAATTTGCCACATTTTTCTGTAGAAAGTCAATTGCGACCAGAATCAAGACATGAACATTAATAACAGACAAATCAGATGCCTTCAACCTTCAACAGCCTCACTCCTGATTGGCTCTTTGGTTGCTATGATACTCAGTCAGAATTCCAAATATGGGACTCAGCTCCAAATTCACCTCTATCACTGCCGGCCTCGATAAGCTTCATTTGACTGGAGCTGAACGCTGTGGGTGATGTCACACTCACTCACATAGAGTTTGTGGCAGTGGTTAGTGGGTTATCTTCGTGCATTTCTTTATCCAGTCTATGTGTGAGAGCAGAGGAGGAGAGGGTCACATGAGTAAGTGAATATTGTGTTGCTTCATATTTCCTTTTAAGATGAAACTACAATCATCTGCCTCCTGTTTTTCAGAACTCGATCCGTCATAACCTTTCTCTGAACCGGTACTTCATAAAAGTGGCCCGGTCTCAGGAGGAGCCGGGGAAAGGTTCGTTCTGGAGGATAGACCCGTCGTCTGAAGCTAAACTGGTGGAACAGGCCTTCAGGAAACGCAGGCCCAGAGGAGTCCCCTGCTTCAGAGCCCCACACGGACCCCTCTCATCCAGGTCAGACTTACGGAGGGAGGATGGAGCTACACTGTGATCTGGCTAAAATATACAAAACCCTCCTCACGTTTAGCCGTAAGAGTCTGTGCACTCATGCTCCCATATTCTCCAATTCTCCATAAATGTACAAAAGCAGGATACAAAACAAGACACTACTACTTCACAAACCTGATGCGATGTGCAGTAGTTTCTTTAGTGGCTTGCAGGCTGATTATGTTGTGATAGAGCTCTGAAGGGGGAGTGCCTTAGCATGAAGACCAAAGGGATCTCAGACTCAGAATGTCAAAAACAAAGGTCGAACTGTAAGGTGCCAGTACGGTTTGCTCATAGAAATGATGTTAGTTTCATGTTGAGAATTACTTACCAAAATTAATCTTAAAGTTTAGTTTTTACCTGAACTTTAGATTCTTTGACTTTCAAGGCATGAATTACAAAAATAAATAAATAAATCTTGAGGTTTTTATTTCAAATACTTAACTCAAGACCTGCTCAACCAATGTGAACTTGTCCTTGTTTTTAACTTTTTTTTGGTGAAACAAAATAGAAAGTATAATGTAACAATTATATAATAATTCATATTAAATAAATACAATTTTATAATTAAACATAAGAAACTTGCAACAAGGTGACTAAATGAACATATGAAACGGCATCAGCGTGTTTGGTGCATATGCACATCCTACAGAACACCTCATTTTACGTGGCTTTCTAAAAAATAACTCCAGTGTGGATCATAAGGGACCCACTTGGGTTCTGGCCCATTTAATGTGTGTTACTAAGTACAGGGCTAAGCACAACAGTCCACTAAGCACACTTTGCGGACACTGGAGGTTCTCTGTCTCTCTGTCTCTCTCTGTCTCTCTCTCTCTCTCTATCTCGTCTCTCTCTCTCCGTCTCTCTCCGTCTCTCTCTCTGTCTCTCTCTCTCTCTGTCTCTCTCGTCTCTCTCCGTCTCTCTCTATCTCCAAAGAATAAAAAGTAACGTGCTGATCTACACATGTTTGCAGTTAATTTTCCATCGAGGTAAAATCCTCCTCTTTAATAAAATGTTCCTGTCATTTGTCAGGAGTGCACCGGCGTCTCCCAACCACTCGGGGGTGCTGTCTGCTCACTCCAGCGGTGTGCAGACCCCGGACAGCCTGTCGAGGGAGGGCTCACCTGTCCCTCTGGAGGTCGACACGTCTGTCCCCGCCCCCAGCGCCAACGTGCAGCCCAAACTAATCCAGGAGACGAGATTCGCACACAACACGCCAGGTACACACACGGTGGATTATACTGTAGACGTCACACGCTGGGAATATTCTCAGCATTTTTAACTTTATACTTTTATAAACTACATTTGTCTAGATCCAGAATAAATATATTGTTAAAGCAGCTCTTGGGGTCAAAATGAGACCCCTGTGGACTGTCTGCAACAAGTTTCTTATAGTCCCCGACTTATAAGAACCAACTACACAAGGGGAAAAAAAACAAATACACCTTAAATAAATTCAAATAAAATGCAGGGGAAAATAATACTGTTTAGTTATAAATATTTCCTGTAGATATTGCATGTTTTAGTAGCTTTTTTAAAAATCTGTTTTATTGTCTGGAAATATTGATGTATTTCATTTCATAGTTCATTTTGTTTTGTGTGTGATATTTGATCAGTATGAATGAGGAAGCAGAGATCTTTGATACTGAAGGAGTTGTTGAAGAAAAACAAAATGTCACTTTCCTGGAGGCTGGGGTGCTGTTAGCATGCTAGTTGTTTCTATCTGTGTTTTAGTAAATAAGCAGGTTTTTATTTATATAGTGCTTTTCAGAGACATATGTCACAGAGTTGCTTTACAGATCATTGTTCATTCACTCCATGATCAGTGGTGGTAAACTACTATTGTAGCCACAGCTGCCCTGGGGCAGACTGACTGAAACAAAGCAGCACCACTCACGCACACACCACTTTCAGACTAGGCAATGTGGGTGAAGTGTCTTTGACAGGGCGGTGTGGCCACGTCTCACATTGTTTCTCAAGTCAGACTAAAATACAGTTTTAAAGATGAGGCGGTGGACAGCGAGCTCCAGGGGAAGTCACTGTGACAACGAGTGAAATACTGATTCTTGAATTAGACCGAATTCTTCACCAAACTCTAATGCAAATTTTGAGGCATAGTAAATATTAATTAGCACCACAAACAGAATTAATCCACATATAAAAACATTCCTAACTTGGTTATTTATTTTAGAGTTAGACCGATTATATCGATTGACCGATATTTGCCCTTTATAGCATATCGGTCATAAATCTCCAGCACAGACTGAGTTGTTGTTTTGGCTGCCCTGCAGTTTAAAAATACACATAAAACTTGATTTAAACATTTCAGTGGAAAGAGAGAGCTGCAGAAAACATGACTACACACTGCTCTCTTATGGACTAACAGTCAAAAAGGGCTGTGCGTGAGTTTTGTAGTCAATGTTAAATTACAGAATTAAAAAAAAAAAATCTAAATTGGCCCTATATATTGACCAAAAAGTATCGGCAGAGCTGATTGGCCATCAGTATGGCTTTGCAAAAAAATCCAAATATTGATATACCATGTCACATGTTTATTGTGATGATACAGTATTGATATCGTGGGCTGCTCTATATGTATCAGTATAAGAGGTTTTTTTTGTACATTTTACTAAATTATTTTGTTACAGCTGCAGTTTTGTTGTTTGTTTAGAGGAGGGAAAGTCTTTAATGTGACACATTTGACATTTTCATGATTTTGAGTATTAAAATGTGTATGTTTTATATTCACTTTGCACAAGAAGTGGTTTAACAAAGACTTTTAAAATCACAGCCTTGATTTAGACATTATTTTTATTGAACCATATTGAATCAATTTGAAATGTATAGTATCAAATGGAAAGCTCAGTTTATAGAGATGCACATCATATCATGCCCTGTGTATCGAGGTATGTATCATATTGACAACTTGTGAATGATACCCAACCTTAGCCATCAGTTTCTCTGGATGTAAACAAACCCAGTCAATCCCTAGTTTATTTTATATTTAATATTTTTAATAAAACGTAGAATTAGGTTTGAAACACAAGGATCTATGTGAGGCGCTGCTATAATAAGTGAAAGTCGTCTTCATAATAATGCTCTCTTGTCTCCGTCAGGGTCCCCAGTGAGCAGTTCGTCGGTGCTGATCGCGGTGCAGAGGCCCATAGCTCAGAGCCTGAAGCCCGTCACGTACACCATGGCCTCCCCCGTCAGCTCCAGCTCACAGCCCCCCTACAGACCGTCCACGTACTGCAGCAGATCCCGGCCGGAACCGTGCTCCAACCGGCCACTCTAATCAAGAGCGAGGGCCAGGAGAACGGAAACCACGCCGACGTCAAAGGTAACACGAGGCTGCGCTAACTGGGACTGGAGAGGGCACTTTTGACACAAAGTTCAGATCAACCCAAACAATAGAGCTGCTCAGGATGATGTCACTTCCGGGTCCATCAGCCGATCGAAAACAATGAACATGAACAACAGTTTCCTCTTTTAGCGACCACACGTCTCACACTAAAAACAAACTGCAGATGTTTAAAGGTGCATTGTGCAGCTTTTCTGGTTCAGGATCTGTCACCTGCTTGTCTCCATGGCGATGTTATCTCTGTGTCTAGAATGTTCCACGGTAGAGACTGAACTGGTCAGGTCAGATCTGTGGAGAGGAGCCCCTGTTCAGAGAGAGTGATTGCATTTTTGACCAATAGAATCACACTTAATTAATAAATGCTAAATAAAGGTGTTTAAAGTCATACCATGGAACATTCCAGGCAAAGCAGTAATATCTCCATAGAGACAAGCAGGTGATGGACCCTCCACCAGAAAAGTTGCGCAGTGTCCCTTTAAATCTATAATAAGCATGGATTTATGGTTGTAAATGACAGAAAGTGTGTGAAGGAGTCTGTGTAAAGGTTCTATATTATGTTACGCAAATGTTACTTTTATGAGCTTTAAGACGTGATAGAATATTGTTCCCTCCTCAAAACCAGACCTGGAGTTGTGTTTTGTTTCATTCACATGTTTGAGTAACACTTTATTATGAGTCTGTTTACATCTCCAAAACTCAAAATGCTCAAGTGAACCGCTACCATGTATTTTATTTTTATTTAACTTTTATTTAACCAGGAGGTTCCATTGAGATTCAGAATCTGTTTTTCCAGAAAGACCAAGAAGTATCAACACAATCAATACAAAACAGTCAAATCACAAAGTATCACATAAAATCATTTGCTCCTCTCAAGAAAAACACGTCTCGATCATGACACGCTTTACAATTTTCTTGAACTTATCAAGTGACACCACAGATTCAAATTTAAGATCTTTCTGTAAATGATTCCAAAACCATGGATCTGTGTAGGAAAAGGCAGATTTTCCCAGCTCAATGAGGCACCGAGGGACAGTGAAGAGGAACTGGGAGGAGGAGCGAATACCTGAGCTCAAATTAAGAGATTCATGAACGTATTTTAATAAACTTTTACTTTACTTTTTGTTTAGTTGAGATTGGCAATTCCAGGGCTGAAATTAGGGCTGTCGTGGTTTAAAACTGTCCCTTGTGTTAACTTTATATGTGCCTTTGCACCGCAGTTTGCTGTGTGTGTGTCACAGCACAGAGGTCTTTAATAATACATGTACAATGTAAATGTACTTGAAAAATATCAATGTCAAACCAGAGCCAGGCCTGAATGACAGACACCTGCTTGGGCAGTGTAAGGTTTTACAGACAAGTTACGAGGTAAAGCCCATACAGCCACCAGAAACCTCCACAGAGGCGCCTGCAGGGGGCGCCTGTAGCACTGTGCATACCTTGAATGTCCATTGAATCCAAAAGGATGTCCCAGTTTAGGCAGGGAGGAGTGCCACAGTAATTACTGACCAAACTGTTCACCAGTGTCTTTCTGACACTTGTATTGATGCACGGTTAACCCTCTAACTCAATGAGACGAGGTCAAGTGGGTGTGGGTGAGTCGGGTCGTATCATAGCCTCACCTAAAGACATACTCTGTAACTCTGATTAACAAACGAGGGCACAGGACTTGTGTATTTGCTTGTGTTACCTGCGCAAAGAGGACAACTTTAGTCCTTATGCAATTATCACTAAATGAAAACAGTGAGAGACAAGAAAAAGGTGCACAGTGTCCTGTGCACATGGAGCAGACACGTTTTGAATAGTTTTATAGCTACATATTGAAACTCCACAGACGGTGTTCTAGCGTGAACACTACAGGTCACGAATCATACACACGAACACAGTGCAAAGACAAAGTTCCTCACCTGGACGGAGACATCCAGAGCATGCACACGCTGCCACACCATGTCCTTTAAGCGCGTAGGCCATTTCAAACAGGTCCTAAACACTGCACGTGAGTGTAAAGAGCAAAACGAAGGGGGATTCGTTGCGCAAACAAAACCATGTGTTCACAAGGCACAGCCCCACAGATACGATGGTCAACTGTAGTGGGGCTCAGCACGTGTGCAGGTCTGGGTCAGGTCACAGTATTTGAACCCATTTGCTCAGAGCCACGTAAACATGATTTGGTTCATAGTAGAGTAGTAACATTTTGTGGGGCATGTACAGGGAGCCTCATTAAAATGAAAAATGTGGTTACCGCGGTGACCTGAACCCTAGTGCGGCGTGATTGATCAGACAGTGTTATTGCAATATTGTGTTTACTCAACAGCCCAAGCTAAAATTATACAAATGATTCTAAAGAAGGTGTATGGAGTTCAAAAACACAGTGGAGCACTTCCTGTATTACCACATGACATCACAAGGTGGAACAGTGTTTTCAGTTTGAGAGAAGAACTCAGTCTAAATGTGCAGGGTTTGTGTGTTCAACATGTGTGAATGAAACAAAACAAAACAAGTCCAGGTCTGTTTGTGATGAGGAAACATTAGAACACAGATCAGAAAAGAGAATCAAATAGGCCCTTTCAGTTTATGGTGCGAGAAAACACTTTGACACGGTTAAAAAGTTGATTGTACATGATGCGTGTTTTGAAATAAAAGCTTTTGTCCCTCAGCAGTGAAAGTTGAGACAGTTCTTCCGGCTGTGGGCTCCATAGGTCCCTCTGCTCCGGTGATCCAAGGCCCCCAGAGCTCTTCCTCTCTGCAGACACTCACCATCCTCCCACAGCCTCCTCTGGGCACGCACCAGCTGCCCATCAAGACCATCACCCAGAACGGGACACACAGCCTCGCCACTGCCATCCAGGGGCACAGCTCAGGTACTGCACTCGAAGAAAAGAGGCAGGAAAACACTATAACACAACAGTTTAAAGACGGACAACTGCAACACATGACACTGACACAAAATAAGTGAGGTCTGGTTTTCTGAGCGCCACCAGGTCCACATCAGGTTGAACAAAAATGGAAATAGGCAAAGTAAGTTTATTTGTATAGCACAATTTGTACAAAAGTCATTCAGAGTGCTTTACAGAATAAGAGGGACATTCAAAGCACAATACAAACAGATCAGAACATAAATAATCATAAAATTAACATTAAAAGAGTCAGTCATATGCACAACTAAACAGAACCATTTTGAGTCTGGATTTAAAGTCAGAGTCAGAGCAGAGGTCTGTCTCACATGTTCAGGACGACTGTTCCAGGTGGAGCTGCAGAAAACTGAAACACAGACTCATGTTTAGACCAGACTCTGTGCACCAACAGGAGGCTGATCTCTGAGGTCTGAGGGACTCGACCTGGACTACAGCAGGACTACAGCAGGACTACAGCAGGACTACAGCAGGACTACAGCAGGAGGTTGGTCCCTGAGCTTTGAGGGACTAAACCGGGACTAAACTGGGACTAGACCGGGACTAAACCTGAATAACAGTAGGACTACAGCAGGATTACAGCAGGAGGTTGGTCTCTGAGGTTTGAGGGACTGAACCTGGACTCTACAACCTGGACTCAACCTGGACTCAACCTGGACTCAACCTGGACTCAACCTGGACTCAACCTGGACAACAGCGGGACTACAGCAGGAGGTTGGTCTCTGAGGTTTGAGGGACTAAACCGGGACTAAACCAGGACTAGACCTGGACTAGACCTGGACTAAACCTGGACTAAACCTGAACAACAGTAGGACTACAGCAGGATTACAGCAGGATGTTGGTCTCTGATGTTTGAGGGACTAAAAATGGACTAAACCTGGATTACAGCAGGACTACTGCAGGACTACTGCACGACTACTGCACGACTACTGCACGACTACTGCACGACTACTGCACGACTACTGCACGACTACAGCAGGACTACAGCAGGACTACAGCAGGACTACAGCAGGACTACAGCAGGACTACAGCAGGAGGTTGGTCCCTGATGTTTGAGGGACTAAAACAGGACTAAACCTGGACTTCAGCAGGTTGCTGAGATCCTCAGAGTGCAACAGCTTCTTTTCAGGAGCCTGTGATCAATAAAATATGTTCATGTTTTGTTTAGAATTTAGATTTTGTACAAAAAGTTGAGAGTGACAAACTGAAAAACTAAAAACTGTTGCTTGCAGTTCGCCTCACACCACAGTAAATGTCGACGACTGCATTGTATGGATGAGGTGCTCTCGGACTAGAATCGTCCGTTCAGAGCGTCTTTTGTGAGTCCGTCTAACCTCCGTGTCCCTCTGTCCTCTCCAGCCGCCGCCAGCCCCCTCCACCTGTTGGCCGCCCACGCCTCAGCCTCCGCCTCCCTCCCGACCAAACGCCACAACGGAGACCAGAGCGCGGAGCAGCAACCGGACGCCAAACGCTCCAAACCGGACCCAGAACAGGCCACGCCCACTTCCTCCTCCCCGACATTCACTTCCTGTCCTCCCTCCAACGACACGGCGGCAGCTAACGACCAGAGCGGCGACCTCAACTAACTCATCCCGACCCCGAAACCTCCCCTACACCGCAACCAAAAAACACCGACACGAGTTTAAAGCACTTGAAATATCTGAGTAGTTTGAACTGGTCAGAATATTTACTTAAAAACTTTGACTTTGACTTGGTTCAGTGTGTCTTTTCTTATTTTGAAGCTAAAATATTTTTGGTTTTGGACAGAATTGCAAGTCAAATAATTTAATTTGAACTTCAGTATTTCAAAGAGTAAAGAAAATATCACCTGGAAAGAAAAAAAAAATGACACTGAAACAAGTCAAATTATCCAGACGCATTAACTAACCAATAAAATCAAGTTCCACCGACTCAGTGTCAGATATTGTAGATTTCAAGTCGTTTAAACTCGTGTAAGTGTATTTTTTGGCGTGTAATCTTTCCCGTAAATCTACATTACTCCTCTTCCTCCTCCTCCATAGTTTTCGGCTCCCATCGTCTGCCATTCCATTGACTCCCGCAGTGCCAAAATGGAGAGCGCTTTCATTTTGCCCTGTAAGACTTTTGGTAAAGACGGCTTCAGGTCGGGGCTGCACACTTCTACACGAAATAACACGTTTTGGCGCGATTGTTCTTTGTGCGAAAATTGGATTTGGAATGAAACGATGCCAAGTTGTTTTAGTGTTTGTAGACGACAAAAACAACGATCAATGAGCCGATTCGATTTAGAAACAAATATTTACAATTTCAAACGACATCCAGCCACAAACATTCAGGAATATTAATATGACATTCATGTGCTTTTGGTGACTTAAAGGTTTAGTGCGTAACTTTTCTGATGGTGGGGACGTGACATGCTTGTCTCCATGGAGATGTTTTTGCTTTGCCTGGAATATTCCACAGTATGGCATTAAACTTGACCATATTTCTAATAATAATAATAATGATACTTCACAGAAATCATGAATGACTACTGTGAACAGGGTCACCTCTCCACAGATATAACTCGTAACTTGACCAGGTGAAGTCTCCCACTTGTCTCTGTATTAACATGGACAGTTTAATGCCATACCATGGAACATTCTAGCCATGTAATGTCATCTCCATAGAGACAAGCAGGTCCAACCCTCCCACTAGAAAAGCTCCGACACAAAACCTGATCTTTTCTTTGTTACACGGTTGACCAAAAAGTCCCATAACAGAACGTTTGCACAAATGTGTCCTCAGACAAAAGTGAAACAGAACGTTCAGTATATTGTGCAGCCCCTTTGAGATCAAATGAAAAGACAGGACTCAAGGAGATGGAAACATCTGGATGTAAACCACAACCAGGCCTTATTCACCAGAAGAGCTGCTCATTCTGAACTCTACTCGGAGCGGGAGAGAAACTACGCCCCCAAATGGACGCCCACTGTTTCCTGTTCAATCCAAGAGAATATGGTGGCCTCCTGTGGTCAAAAACAAACTGACACTGGTTCAACAAATGATACTTATTATTATTATTCATGGAGAAAATCAACCACACGGTAAAAAGAAGAATTTTAAAGACAAAGTACACTGCAAAAAACAACATTAAAATGACTTGAATTCAGAATATTTATTTTGAGTTTTGGGACAGTTTTTGGTTTGTAAATTAAGTTTTATGTTCCTCTTTTGCTGGTCCCAGAATATTTTGTTCTTATTTTAAGCTAAATTGTGAATGAAAAGTTTTAAAAATATTCTTTCATATTCCAAGTTCACTTCCTTCACCTCAAATGTGACAAAATACAACTTTTTCCATTGGCTCAAAATGTGACATCTGAAATAAAATGTTGCAAATCTGCAAATTTTGACTTCCTAACTTAATAAATTCAGTTTAAAATACTAACAAATGTTGTGAATTCAAGTGATTTTAAATTGAATCAAGTGTAGAAGCATGAATTCAAAGTTGAGCTCCACAAAAATGGAATGAAAAGGGTTCAGTTGGTATCACCAGTGCCACCATAGTCTCAGTCCAAATGTGTACAGGAAACACTGAGGCTGTCATGTTACCTCATCTCACCAGGGGGCAGCAGAGCGCCCCTCGCCGCTCCACGGGCCTTACCCTCCGGCTCTGTCCTGAACGGAGCCTTGGTTTGGATGGATTCATTTCATGTTTTTTAGGGAGAAAAAAAAGCAACCGATTGAGCCAAAAATCCTCTGGCAGCTCAAAACAGCCCTGTCTCCACCAAAATCCACTTGAAATAACTGCATTTGTTTCACTAGTTTGAACTCTATTTATTGAAGGAGTTGCTACACATTTGGTTTGAAGATTTTGGACGTTTGAATCATTTTGTCATTTCAAACTTAATGATCGTCCATTTCTTTCACTGGCAGATATGAATGGAAATGAAAATGTGCTGAAACCTTTTGGAAAACCTTCAAACTATTGAAAAGAACTGAAACCTTCAAAGTGAATGAAATCAAGTTAAAGCTGCACTGTGTCACTTTTCTGGCTGCTCGTCTCCATGTAGACGAGCAATAACCAGGCCGAGTTACAGGTCAAATCTGTGGAGAGGCGAGCCCGCTTACTGTAAGAGTGCATGTTTTTCAAGTGATTTGAAGCCATTCAAACACAAGATCTACAAGTTGAACGTGGAACATTCCAGACAGTGCAATAACATCTCCATGAGACGAGCAGGTGGAGGTCCATCTACCAGAAAAGTGACACAATGCAGCTTTAAAAACCACTCATCAAATAGAATCCAAGTGTCACACAAAATGATGTCTTCCTAAATTGCAGCCTTGTGACTCCCAGTAGCTTTATTTGGATCTTTTGGATGTATTTGTGTAAAATGATGTTCACGTGGCTCTTGGTTACTGTTTATGAAATGCTTGTGTACAAATATTGAACAAAATGAGACTTATTGTACAAAAAGTCATGTGGTTCTATTGACTCATTTGTTTGGACAGTGTAGACATGCATTTTCAAGTAGCGGCGACTCCAAATCTGCTCCAAATGTCCTTCACTTCATGTATTAAGGTATTCATCACTTCACATTATCGACTTGGCACAGTCATTTGGTGGATTTTTACGTCGGATGCCCTTCCACTCACAACCAGCCTCGTTTCTGTGTCTGGAGCGGGGAATGTGGTCGAAGTGTCTTGCCTAAAGACACAAGACAAGTTCAGATGAATCATGTGGATGTTTTTCAAAGGATCAAACCAAATGAAAGCATGTTGTTTGTTTCACATTTGGTGGATACAGGGCCAAACCTCTTCATCATGGCAGTAGATATGCAGTATTCACTTCATAGGACTTTTTCACAAACACTTGTTTTTAGGGAACGGATGTACACTGCAACAAAGAACATCTTGAATTCACTCCATTCATCTGACTACTTTGGACTAGTTCTCATTTATTCACTTGTCTACATGATTTGAAAAATGACTTGAGCTATTTCTAATCACTAACGTAGTTCAACTGCATTTTTCTGCCACTTCAGTTGGAAATTTGAACTTATTTAGTCCAAATTCATTGGCCATTTGAAATAACAAGATTAAAATTGGAGAAAAAAAACACATCACAACAACTCAAGTCATTGATACTAAGTAATTCAATAAATCTAGTCCAAACTAGTCAAGAAAAATCTATTGTGAATTCCAGACTTTTTCCCGATTGCAGATCTGGACTTTTTGCAGTGTATCGGTGTCACAAAACTGAATCTTTCCACTTGTTTTGGACATTTTTGATCCCAATATTCCGACCCGTTGTCATTTTGTAACCTCTCTCCCTTTCTCTGTCTCTCTGTGGCATATGAACTCAATGTTAAAGCTCCATATTTGAATGGGAATCATTGCACAGATAACCCATGAGAACTATATGACTCTTTGCGTGTGTAGCTTCCAGATGTGAGCCCTGCATGTAATCACACAAGTTTACTGTACAAACCCAACAAAAGGAAAAGAAACAGACTTGCACTTGAGCCACACTGGAAAACAAATATCTACTCCACTTAAAAGGACTAAGTTAAGAGCACTGATCATTTTGGAGGAGTTTGGACTAGTTTGAATACAACTCATGGGTCGCACTCACTTTGATTTGTTTGGAGAAATGTCCCACTTTTTCCTCCAATATTTGATTTATCAGAGACAAACTGACATCAAATAGAACTTTGTGTAATTATCCGTTCAACACATTTCAAACGTGGGTTCCAAATGTTGTATTTTAGACACAATCAGATGTCACTGTCTGTTGTTTTAACTGGAATTAAAAAATAAAGTGAAGCAGAAGATTGGGCAGAAGATTTTGCTCATAAATCAGTTCAAATTGTTCCAAATATCTTAAAAATCTAGGTCTAACTGAGTTGCTAAAGCCCCAGTATGTCACTTTTTAACCAAAAATAGACTAAAATAAAGCATGTTTTACTGTGAGGGGCTTGCATCTCCACAAACCTGACTCGTATTTGGCCTTCCCTCATTTGTTTCCATGGAAATATTGTTCCTTTGGCTATAATATTCCACTGTAGGACATAAACGGTGTGTGTGTCTCCATGGAGAATGTTGTGAAGTATGGTTTGAACTTTCTTATTGTGTAGAACAGTGCAGTTGACTTTCCAGCCCCAGAAAGTGTCACACTATCACTTGAACTGGTCCAAACCACTTCAAATCAACACAGGATTCTGAATCATTTGACATTTGAAACTTGTACGTATTTGTTTTGCAGTGCAGTGTTCTGTAGTTTTGAGTTTCCCTTTTTTTGACTTCCTGTGGAGCCCTTAAGCCCCGCCCTCCTACTTCCTGTCCCGTGTTTCAAATGAGGCCGTCTTGATGTTGTGGTTGTTGGCAGATCTCCCCTACACCTCTTTATTCTCAATATTATGACTATTATTCTATTATGATCATATTATTATTGCTTGATCATTTCTGGCGACCCGGCGAGTCTGTTGATTGTACACGTTCCAAGTCCAGAGAAAAGAAAAGACAAATTGATGTTGTTTTGCTTCAGTGGAGAAATGCTTTTTTAAAATAAATTAATTTAAAGCCCAGTGATGTGTCCTGTCTGTTAATACATGGAGATTGTCATTTCAGTGCACTTCAATGCTCCTTGAGCTTTCACAGGTGAAACCAAAGCTTCAGAAAGAATCATTCAGACAGAAAACTCATCATATTAACCACACACTGACTTATGGATTTACTCTTTTGTTCTTTTTTTCTTCTTCTAGTTACAAAAAATCTGCACCATCCAGCAGT